GTGTGTGTGTGTGAATGCAGGGAGGGGTGGGTGTGTGTGTGTAGGAGTGTGTGTGTATAGGGCGGGTGTATGTTAAGAGTGGGTGTGCATGAGTGCAGGGAATGAGTGGGTGTGTATGAATGCAAGTAGGGGCGTGTGTGCACGCAAGTGCAGGGAGTGTGCGTGTGTGAATGCAGGGAGGGGGTGGTTATGACAGCAGGGAGGGGGAGAGGTGGTAGGTGTGTGCATGGGGGGGAGCATGCGTGTCCTGGGATGCCCGCACGCCCTGACCCAGGGGCCGCGTGCCCGTGCCCGTGCCCGGCAGGAGTTTGAGAACGCGGAGGGGGACGACTATGGCGCGGAGTTCTCGGCCCAGGGCTCGCCGGCGGTGCAGAATGGCCCCGAGGTGTACATCCTGCCCCTCACCGAGGTCTCGCTGCCCATGTCGAAGCAGCCGGGGCGCTCAGGTAAGCTGCAGAGATAGCTGGGGGGTGCCCGGGGGTCTGGGGGTGGGAGCAGGCCTGCTTGCGGCAGCCCCCTCGGGCAGAGGGCTCGGAGGGTCCCAGAGCCGTGCCTGGGGTGGGGTTGGGATGGAGCTGGTCTCGCAGGACGGGCAGACAGGCCCTGCCCTGGTGCCTGCACCCAGCCCCTTGCTGCGGGGCAGCCGGGCACCCCGAATGCCTTCCCTGGTGCCACCCACCCCGTCCCCGCCAGGCCTGGTAAACAGGCCGTCGAGTGGGAAAGGAATTCGGAGCACGCAGGGAGGGGCGCGGCGCCAACAAGCCCAGCCATAGAAGGGCCAGGCCCCCCCTCCACCCACCTCGCCGGGCATTGTCGTGCCGGCCGGGGAGAATGGCCGCAGTGTCCGGCCGGTGCAGGGTGGCGCGAGGCCGGGCAACAATGGGCCCATTGCTACCCTCCCTCGGCATCTGCCTGGAATGCCGGGTTCGGGCACGGGGGAGGGCTGGGCAGCGGGCAGGGCAGGGGCCAGCGCCCTTGGGGCCAGCCCTGCTCCAGTCCGGGAGCTTGTGGGGTGGAGGGCCCCGGGCTGGATCCTGCACTGGGTGGCCGGAGGGGGAAAGGGGTCCCCACCTGCATTGCTCTTGGCTGCGGAGCTGCTACTCCCCCGGGCAGCCCCTTGAAGTTGTTGCGCACGGCTGGGTGGCAGAAGCAAGGGAGAGGCCTGGAGGAGCCGGGCGGGGGGATTCGAGCAGGGCCCCGGGGCAGGAGGTCGCAGCTCGGCATCCCTGGTGCCAGGCCGCCTGAGCCTGCGCTGGGCATGGACGGGGACCACGAGGCGGCTGCGCGGCGCCCCGGGGACACGCGGGTAACCAGGCAGGTGGGGGGGCGGCGGGCCTGGCCGGCGACGGGCGCTCGGATGCGCGGCCAGCTGGACATGCTCTTTTACAGTGCAGCTGCTCAAGTCCGCGGACCTGGGGAGGCACAGCCTGCTCTACCTGAAGGAGATCGGGCACGGCTGGTTCGGCAAGGTG